TCTGATTAAATCCCAACATCAATGGCTAGAGTGGCTGGATAAAAACGCTAATTATGTTAGAGTGCTGTCGTTCGATTTTAGCAAAGCATTTGACAGTGTGCCCCACGATCTTTTGTTTGAAAAAGTTAAAAAGCTACCAATTAATCCGTATGTGGTGAACTGGTTAATTAGCTTTCTAGAAAATAGAATACAAAGAGTAATGGTTGATGGAATGGTTACAGAATATTTACATATTAATCGTGGTGTCCCTCAAGGTACTGTTTTAGGCCCAGTTCTTTTCTCGATAATGGTTGATGATATTAAAACTGCTGATCCTAGTAATGCGTTAGTCAAATTTGCTGACGATTTGACGTTAGGAGTGCCTGGCAACGAAAGTGGTGACACATCTCGATCTGAAGCTGCCTGTTTACAGGATTGGGCGGAAGAGAATAGAATGCCCTTAAACTTGGAAAAAACGTACGAAATGGTTGTTCGCAGACACACCTCTGTAGTTTTGCCCGAACTTATCCCTTCAATTAAGCGAAAAACATGGCTAAAGCTTTTAGGAGTTACTCTACAAGATAACCCGTGCAACTGGGATTTGCACTTTGAAGAAATGCTCAAAAAAGCAAGTGGACGAATGTACATTATGAGAGTTTGCAAATACTATGGACTATCAATAGACAACTTGCATGTTAGACAAATTTTTTATCTAGCCGATCTAGGCACAAAAAAAGTAAATTCCCGTTAAGAACTTGTTAAAATTAGTAAACTTGCAAAATTTGGTTTCGAAAGGTTGTAAAGCTTGGAAAATATAACTTTGCAAAGTTTTCATATTTTCAGTATATTTGTATTACGTTCGGAAATTGTTACCATTTTTGAGCCGAAAATGGTAACAATTTCCGCTCGTAATACAAATATACTGAAAATTTGCAAACTTTGCAAGGCTATACTTTCTAAGCTTTACAACATTTCGCAACCAAATTTTGCACTTTTACTAATTTCAGTATGTTCTTTTTAGCTGTTGTGTTTGATCCCCTTTTCTCTGCTTAGATTAAAATTTAGTCTAACATGCAAGTTGCCCATTAAACAATTAGATCTGCTGTTTGATAGCCTAATTATGTCGATATTCACTTTTGCTATTGAGCTGTGGGGTTGTGCATACGACGGTAAATATTTGAACCAAATAGATAAATTCATTAAACGTGCACATAAGAATGGTTATATATCAAAACGAACACACATTAAAGAAATACGTGATAAGAGAGATAAGAAACTGTGGAACAAAATAACATCAACTGAGGACAATGCATTGCTTGAACTGCTGCCGGAAAAAAGAAGTAGGTTACTTAGGCCTAGAGGGCATGAGTATGAACTCCCCCTAGTGAGAACAGAAGGATTCAAAAGGTCGTTCATAAATCGTTGTCTGTATAACTTTGTTTAGACTTTAATCTATTAAAAACTTTTTAAAACTTTTTACGCTTCTTAACTTACAATTGTAAATATAACTAGATCAATTACCTTTCGATTGTAAACTCAGACGGATGTATCTGAGTATTTTAATAAAGACTATTATTATTATTATTATTATATTATAATTATGATCACATAAAGTACTAATTGTTCTGCAATTTATAGTTGTTAATGTTATGTAATTAATACACGCGTAAAAATTGAGAAAATCAACAACTTGTTCCAGGTTGATATCAACATGCAGGCGTGAACAAGGTTGTGCGGCCCACTATGAACAGTATTGTCAACATGTTGTTACAGCATTGTTCAGCTGTAACAACTTGGAATAACATGGTTAACAACTTGTTCATAGTTGGCCGCACAACATTGTTAACGCCTGTCGATGTCAACTTGGAACAACCTGTTCGTTTTTAGCCGTGTTTGTGATTCATATTCAATCTCCGCTGACCTTGTGCTCAAAACGTTTCCCTAAGTACCGGGTTGCCCGAAAAAAGTTACACTGACACTGTTGACTTTAATGTAACGTAAAAACGAGAACAGCTATTACACTCAAATAAGTATTACTTGCATTCAGGAAAAACTAACTTAAATTTTGTATATAATACTTGAATTGTCGTGCAAAAACCGTGTAACGTTACCTTAAAGTTTCGATAGTTTTTGTGCGAATTCACGCGTGTAAAAAAAATGCGTTCATGATTGATTCTTTAAACATATGCATTAATAAGTCTTGTTGTAGTTAGATTCTTATATGGACTCGTGAAGCATCATCGAAGCAGTTGAGTCAGGTTGAGTAACAAATTTTTCTTTATTTCAGGAAACCAACTATCCTTGTGGTCGATCAAGCGTGGTTTCAGTCTCATTATTCTTGTTGATTTTAACACTTCTTAGTTCATTCTGTAATCTATGATTTTTGTGAAAATTTGTAAATACCTTCGATGCGTTTTGGTTGTAAAATGTTATAACGCTGTTGCTTAGCAAGTATATAATATATATGTCTACAATGGAATGAACATAATTTGCTTTGAATTTTTTGCAATTTATTTTTGTAAAGTATATGTATAATCTTTTAATTTGATTGAATGATGGCCTAATTACTGTAATTATTAAAAGTTTCCATAACTGCACACATGATGTTGCCGATTCTGTAACTGCACACATGATGTTGGTCATATGAATATTAGTCATATTTATCACGTTTTTCTGAGACCGAGAGAAATATGCAAACAATTTTTACAATTATTCTTCAAATAAAGTTTTTCATGCCTTTATAAGTCATTTCCGGGCTTTATCCAAAAGAATACTAACGATACTTACAAATGCACGACCACATCGCGTTTTATCTCGAACCCACGACCTTCGAATTAGAAGTACGACGCGCTAATCCATTGCGCCATGGGGGTTTCGCCCGTCGTCTTCCGGCTATATTTTGAGCCTACCAATTTCGAGCTGTAGTCTGCAAGGGTACGAGTTTACAAGTTGTGTCGTGGGGTTAAGATAAAACGCTGATGTGGATGGATTCCCAACTTGTATAGTATCAGCTAACAGCTAGAACTCCAAATTGATATACTCAAAACATAGCCTAATGGCGGCGGGCAAAACCCCCGTGGCGCAATGGATTAGCCGGTTGGACTTCCAATTCGAAGGTTGTGGGTTCGAGTCCCATCAGGAGTGTCTTACATGTTGCGACAAATATTTTTTACAATTTTTCTTTTAAAACTATTTCATGCCTTTATAAGTCATTTCCGGGCTTTATCCAAAAGAATACTAACAATACTTATAAATGCACGAAAAACATTTTCCAAACCACATTCGCGTTTTATCCTTCAGAATAAAACTCGGATATGACTTATAAAGGCACGAAATACTTTTTCTCGCAATATAAAATTGGGAACGATTTCATCAATTAAATTAAATTTTAACACCTTTTATCTCGGACTTTCACCAAATTTTACGAAGTTTGTCCTCAAACTTTTGCCAAGTTTGACCTGCAACTTTGACCATCTTTTTGAATTATTGGGGGCTGTTACATATCCCCAAGTCGCGACGTCCCTGGGCAAAACCCCCCGTGACGCAGCGCAACGGATTAGCGCGTTGGACTTCTAATTCAAAGGTTGTGAGTTCGAGTCCCATCGGGGATGTTTTTATCTTACGAAAAACATTCTTTTTACAATTTTTCTACGATAAATTGATATCCTTAAAATTGTTCTAATGGAGACCAGATCAGCTGATGTTCTGCGATCCCTTGCTTGGGATCAAATTTAAATATACCAAGAATATTATACATTTCAATATACAATTCAATATACAATTCAATATACAATTCAAGAATATACATTTCAATATAGAATTCAAGAATATACATTTCCTTGGAAATCAATAACCTAGGCGTGTTGAAGGATAACGGTTGTGATAAGATTTTTAATAAAAATAATAATCCATTGCGCCAAGACCGCCTTCGGGCTATATTTCGATTATACTAATTTGGCCATGAGTTATAGTCTGCTGGGGAACGAGAATATGAGTTGTGAATCCGTCGCCCGTATCCACATTTATCCTCACCCTACGACACAACTCCACAATTGGTATACTCAAAATATAGCCTGATGGGGGCGAGCGAAACCCCCATGGCGCAATGGATTAGCGTGTTGGACTTCTAATTCAAACGTTGTGGATTCGAGTCCCATCGGGGGTGTGCGTTGTTGGTTGTGACGGACACTAAAGAGTTCTTTGAGGAAAAATTGTAAAATATGTCCCAACATAAAAGACACCCCCGATGGGACTCGAACCCACAACCTTTGAATTAGAAGTCCAACGCGCTAATCCATTGCGCCACGGGGGTTTCGCCCAACGCCTTCAGCCTATACGTCGATTATACCAATCTGGTGTTACAGTCTGCATGGGGACGTAGGAGTTGTGAATCTGTCACCCGTATCCACATTTATCCTCACCCTACGACACAACTCCAAAATTGGTATACTCAAAATATAGCCTGATGGGGGCGGGTGAAACCCCCGTGGCGCAATGGATTAGCGTGTTGGACTTCTAATTCAAAGGTTGTGGGTTCGAGTCCCATCGGGGGTGTGCGTTGTTGGTTGTGACGGCAACTAAAGAGTTTTTTGAAGAAAAATTGTAAAATATGTTTGTCGCAACATAAAAGACACCCCCGATGGGACTCGAACCCTCAACCTTTGAATTAGAAGTCCAACGCGCTAATCCATTGCGCCACGGGGATTTCGCCCACCGCCTTCGGCCTATACGTCGATTATACCGATCTGGTGCTACAGTCTGCATGGGTACGTAGGAGTTGTGAATCTGTCACCCGTATCCGCATTTATCCTCACCCTACGACACAATTCCAAAATTGGTATACTCACAATAGAACTGATAGAACACTGATAGAACTCAAATGTGCCGGGTAAACGGTCAACTGTCAGATTCTGTGCCAGTGGCCTGCGGTGTACCTCAAGGTAGCAGCCTAGGGCCATTGCTATTCCTCATCTACATTAATGATTTACCGAACTGTCTTGATCATACAACTGCAAGAATGTTCGCAGATGATACAAGTATTAGTTATGCGTCCGACTCTGCCAAAGATAGATAGATAGATAGATAGATTGTTTGTTTAATAAGATTAACACATAGCAGCCAAGAGGCTGAATTGCGTGCTAAATTTTACAAGAGAAATGATTAAATTAGTTATTCTATATTTACAGAAGTTTAAAATTACATTACAATTTATAATTCTATATTACAGAAGTTTAAAGTTACATTACAAATTAGCTATGAAACTAGTAAATTTCTAAAAAAATGTTAGCCAGTCTAAAACTGAATATCAGAATCGATTGTCAGTTAATATTATTGATATGCCTTGCAGATGAAGGGAAAAAACTGTTTCTAAATCTGTTCGTTTTGGTCTGAGGAACAACAAAAGACCTTGAGTGTCTAAGGTCGTAATTTGGAAAGTATCTAGATGGTACATGATTATGCATATTAGCTACTGGTGTTGTGGTGATTTCATTAAACAGTTTCTCGCATGCATCCACACGCCTGTCACTTAATGGTTTGATGCCCGATTTTTGTAAACAATCCGCATAACCTGTCAGTGGATAGATGATTGATAAAACACGCTTTTGAACCCGTTCCAGGGCATTAGATAAGTAGGAAGGAAGGGCGAAGTGGAAAACTTGACAGCTGAATTCCATGACTGGTCTGACGCAGGTAGTGTAAAAATTTATTATGTCAGCTTCAGGTACATGAGCACGTTTCAACTGAATAATAAAATAAATCCGTTTGTTCGCCTTCTTAACTATGTTAGTTATGTGTTGGTTCCATTTTAGATCTTTAGAAATTGTCAAACCTAGGATTCTTGCGTGGTTCACTGTCTCGATTTGGCCTGAGATGATCTTAAGGCGCGGAAATTCTTTCTCAGGTTTTGTAAAACTGATAACAAGTTCCTTGCACTTGGAGGCATTTAATTGCATCTTGTTTTCTACAGACCAATTTTGAACACAATCGACTGTATCTTGAATTTTACTGGGTGTGTTGATGTAAATGATTTCAGATACCGTAGCATCATCGATGTATTTCCATCGCTCATGATGTGGGGGGCGTAGGTCATTTATCATTAGGATGAATAACCAAGGTCCCAATTTGGTTCCTTGAGGAACACCGGAAGGAATGTCAATCCATTCAGACATACAGTCTCTTGCAAGTTTCACCCGTTGTTGCCTGTTCATCAGAAAGTCAATTACCCACCGCTTAATGAAATTTGGCATTGGCAATTGGATGATTTTCGTGGCTAAGATCTTATGATCAATCAAGTCGAAGGCCTTTCTTATAGTCAAAAAGAACCACTCTTACAGCGTTTCCAGTTCCATCTGTGGCTTGAGTCCACGCATGAACCATAGAAATTAAGGCTTTTGTAGCAGATGATCGAGGGATGCCACCAAATTGAAAAGGATCAATTGACGACAACACTGCTGGAGCGATATATTTTTCAACAACAAACTCTTCTGCAAGTTTAGACAGAACCGGAGTTAACGAAATAGGTCGGAGCTGTTTGCTTATGTCTTTAACAGGTTTCTCTTTCGGAATAGGTGTAATGTTAGCTTGTTTCCAGCATGAGAGGGCAGTCTTTTTTGCTTGTAGGACGAATTCAATAAGTCCGATACAGAGGGAGCAAGGATTTCGGCATAATCACGAAGAATCCAATTGGGGATATCATCCGGGCCCGGAGCTTTATGCGGGTTCAAGCTTTTCAGTTTTTTCAAGACC